CGGATAGGAGGAGGAGCGTAGATGCATCGGGCTCGTCCGGGGCGCTCGAAGAAGTAGCCGTTAGGGGTTGCCGGCCGGGCGGACGCGCGGGGGTTCGGTCGGCGGGGCGCTGACGTACGGCGTCGAGCAGCTGCTGTCAATGTCGTCGGAGGATGAATGGACATACTCGCTAGGGTTTGGGGTATCGCCGCCATCTAGGGTTTCGCCATTGCTAGGGCTTCGACGCTCCATTATCATAAATCTCTATCCGCTTCCTTCAGCTGAGAGAGAGAGAGAGCAGAGAGAGAGAGAGAGGGAGTTTAAAATGACAGCGAGGGGAAGATGACGTAAGCATTTGTTCCCGTATTGCCCCCAATATCTCCTCATAATGTCGGAAATGCTCTTTCTTGGAACTGAAGACGTTGGAAGGGTAAATTTGAGAAGCCGTATTCATCAGTTTCTGGTCACTCACCGGTGTGATCAACGTCGTTACTTCGAGTTAGGACAACGCTTAGCTCCAAAGTCAACTCCCTTTAAAAATATCCCGTCAACGGCCAGAAGGAAAATCTAATGGAGGGCGGGGTTAAAAGTTGCACGGAGAAGGCTGAAGCGCGATAGTGATTTTGATATTAGTTGGTAGTTTTGACTCGGAGATGGTGATCATCCAAGGCGCATTAGCATGACGTGCTCCTTTTATTCGAATCGGAGTTTAAAACCAAGGTCAGTAAACTTTTTCAACTCTTTTAAAAGTTAAAAAAAAAGTAGCAATTGTGTGCCTGCCCTCGTCACTACAATTATAGAGGACTTGTCTATCTCCTTCAATACTTTTAACGGTTTACAGAGTCAAATAAATTCACCCAGGGGTGGATTCACAACAAATAAGACTACAAGGGGTCCTTTTACGAGACAAACAGAACTACACGAGGCATATTTGCAATTGGTCCATACTAAGGAGGGATTGTTCGCAATTCACCCTTACCTGTATAATAAAGGGGTGTTTGGTTCAATTTCTACAAATTATAGGAAATGTTTTTCACCCAAAATATGATTTCATTGTATTTCTTAAAAAAAACTATAGGAAAAGTTTTGAGAAGTTAAAAAGTATCAAATTTTTTATTTTTTTACTTTACTTGTTTGGTTCAAAATAAGAAAATAACCCATAACTTTATAGAAAATAGCAAGATTTCCTATAATTTGCAGAAATTGAACCAAACACCACCTAAATTTATAGAAAAGTGTCAAATTTATAGAAAAATATCAATGTGATGTCAGATTTCTGGGTGATTTCCCCCCATTTTGAGAGGAAATTGATTTCTGTAAATTTTGATACTTTTTTGTACCTTACAGAAAACATTTCTGTAAATTTTTTTGAACCAAACAGAATTTACGGAAATCTACAGAAAATTTTTAATTACAAAATTACTATTGTTAGATATTCTAAGAAAAATTTTCTATAAAATTGTGCAACCAAACACCCCCGAACCAGAGAGGACTCGTACGCGAGAGGACCCACCAGTCCAACCAATAGAAAAGGAACCCGTCATCTAACAGCAAATAAACGGGGACGCAACTTAACAAGCAGCGGATCCCTCGGTGGCGGGAACTAAACGGTAAGGTTGCCCGTTTACGAAAATACCCCTCATCTTGGTAGGGAGCGGGATAACCTCAAGAGGGGGGGCCCGTGGGCTCCGGCCAAGCGGGTGAAACGTAAGGGCAATTCGGGAAATTGGTGTGTGTGTGGGGGTGGGGGCAGAGAGAGGACGGCACGTTCGTCGGTCGGTGCGCGATTGTCAGAGCTGAGAACGTGGTAAGTTTCTGCGCTCGCAAAGTTGTAGCCGCATGACTCCACCGACCCTTTTTAATGCACCGTTTTCGATGCAATTAAAACATGGGTTTGCTCGTAGCTGGTTCATATCGTGTTCTTTTTGTTAATTGAGATTACATTACACGGAGCTTAATGCAATTAAACATGGGTTTGTTTTTGGTTAGAAAGTTCTAAGCGATGAAGTTGTTCAAACTAAACATAAGTAAATTAGCTGCGTTCCGATGCCCTGAAGTATAGTGCAACTAAACCAATGAAGTTATCATGACTAATTGTTCACCCTCTCATTGGCACCTCTTTAAGATTTACAAAATTTTAAAGTGTACCCTAGCAAAACTCTTATAAATGGGACGTAGCCTCCTCTTCTGTACAGGGATCCAAAATATGGGACCAATAAGGGGACATGTGAGGTGTCCCCCTCCTATTGCATAATGAGCTGATCATCCCTGGACACCTCACATATCCCCATGTTGGTCCCATATTTTGGGTCCCTGTAGCAAAACCAGACAGGAACACTGCTAAAGTTAATGCTCTAACAAACACCAAACTTGTGTTAATATTGACAGCAAGCAGTTGTACTAACCAACCACACTACATCTATAACCACTTAAAGAGTGATAAACGCTAATAATTTTGGGTAACATTTTGTGTTTCTCGTCAGGGGAAAGGAGAAGAAAAAAAAGGATTTGTAGCTGTTGAAAGTAGTCCAGTACCCCACTTGTTCAATTCAGAACCATCTAAGCTTTCAACGACTTAACTTTACTTGGAGACGAGATCCTCCAAATCAAAAATATGAATTAAGAGACGAGAAACATAATTATTTGAACCTTACATTTGATACTAGGAGAGGCATCCTATCATCAAGCAATCATCAAAATGCTCCTCCAGCAACCAAGAAATTTACAATCTCCCCCTCTCAGTCTCCAATCCTCTGCTTCAAAAGCTTCAATCTCATGAGCAAGAAGGGGCGGCTTTCATCAAGCAATCAGCAATCACTTCGTCGACCAAGGAATTTACAATCTCCTTCTCAATCTCTGCTCCCGCTTCAAAAGCTTCGATCTCATAATCCACCCACTTACCCAAATGGCTACTCATGTCCTTGTCCACGACTTCATCCGCCATCCAATCTCCCATACTGTTCCATCCCGAAATCTCAGCGTATATTTCTTTTGCCAAATTTTCTTCGTTGACGACTGCTGCACCTTTAGACCATGATTTATACCCAGTCCTAAAGTACCTGCTGCATTTCAAATCCAGGCACTCATCGACGCAATCAAATAGCGTTTTTCTCCTCAACCTACCGTCTTTGTCCTCCACCCTCCTCTTAGCTTCCAACTTGTCGAAGAGAAGTGGGTTCAGTTTTTCTCCAGCGAGAACCTTGGAGGTTGTTGCACTGTTGAATACTATCTCCTTTATGTAATCTAATTCATGGTTGCTTGATTTTGTATGGCTTGCGTTGTTAATTTCTGATGCGTCTGAATTTTCAGTTAGTGTAGAAGAGGCAGAATCTGACAACTCTGTTTCAGCTACTGAGATGAAGCTCATGTTGTTTTGGGCCTGAATGGATGATAAACATGTCTTGCCGCCTGGAAAAAAGAAAACATACAAGTGTTCAGAAGCAACGGACATAAAAGAAAGGTGAATTTAAATACGGAGTGACCATCAGCAGTAGTTCTATTGTCGCAGATGGGACCCATGTACTACCCTCCAATTGCAGAGGTCTATTTGTCAAAGAACACTTCTCTTTTTCCTAGGGTAAAAGAGTCAAAAAAAAAAAAAAAATTCATTCAAGATGGCTATCTGCAGCTATTTACCTAGAGGGTCTATCTACAATTAGGCGATAGTAGAGGGGGTCTATCTGCAATTAAACATTGATACAATAACCTATTCATTTGAGTTTTACCATTAGTGCCGTCCAAGCTTTCAGTCAAGTTGTAGCTTTCATTTGAAAATGATGCTTCAAGAACGGAGAAGGGACTCAAATTTTCCTGGTCAAGCTCCTTTCGGGCATCACTGCTACTGCTACATTCCTCCTCTCCCTGAAAAGAATTGACAACTGCAATTATTAGGATCACATTGTGAAACAACACTAAATTTACATCCAGGGATTGGTATAAAACCCATAAAACCACTTGCATTTTAATTATTTCTACTTGTGCAATTTAGAGAACAAATTGTTCAAGCAAGAGCTTTCAGTTTATAATTCAGTTTATAATCAACAAAGAACACACGGTAGTAATTTTACAGATAAAATAAAATACAAGGGCACACACACAGTTATGTACTAGATGAGGTCCTACGAAAACAAGAAATACAGAAATAGTATACATATATGCACTTGACTTTATATGGAGGTTGTCAAGATAGTTTTATTATTATTATTTTTTTTTGGTTGTGCTAGAGAACAACATTCTTCGCATGGGAGAGCACAAATCTTCATGCCAATGAGGCTGTAGTTTCTCTCAAAGACCATCCTGCTTTATGAAGGTAGATACAAATTTCTTCATACAATTGCGTAAACACATTTTCCCTTGAAGAATAATCTTATCAATGAATAGATGCAAGTTTCTCTTAAAATCAGGGGCATGTGCCGTATTTATGAAGTGGATGTGCCAGAGGCAAATTCTTAACACAATTGGGACACAATTTACCTAGACATGCGATCCTCTTAAATATGTAGAAGCATTGATGTTTAAGAGTCAAGTCAGGTAGCTATTAGGCATTTGTTTTATTAGGAGATTGTTATTTGTAATGGTAGATAACACATCCAACGGTGACTGTATAACTTGTACATGGCTAATATCATAGTAAAATTTGGAATGGTTTTTACCAGTTTGTGCTCTGCATCAAATTTCACATGGTATCAGAGTCCCTACCAACCATATCTCATATGATAAGAGCCACATCACTAGCTGGCTTCTTTCATGGAGACTTAGTTTATTATGACCTTTCCCACACAAGTCCCACACAAGAGTTTGACTTGTGTATTGTTCAGTTAGGTTCCACAACCCACTTCTGGTTTCAGTTCTGGTATCGGTTTCAGATACTAACACCTTATGCTAGGTAGCTTGTATGCAGGTTTTGTCAGTTTCAGGAGGTTTCATTTCTAGTTTCAGTTTTGGATGATTCATCAATCTCCAAATAATACAAGCTGGCTCCATGGTGAGGCATGGCAATACCATCTATAAGTACATAATCACTATGTGTGTGGTGTGTGTGTGTGTGTATTTATATACACGCACTCGTGCACACAGATGTATACATATATAAAATGTATCTCTTATGTCTGTTACACTTTTGGGTAGTAATATATTCATGCAGTATGAACATATTATATGAAAGGTTTTAATGGTTGTGAGGAAAACTAGTGAGACACGCCTTACGATGTGACAAGTAAAGTGGACTCCACCTCATGTATATCTCTTGGTAGTTCATTTTGCAAAATGAGGTGCCACCTCATACCTTTTTTTCCAAATATATAAAGGTAATCGTATGTATATAGTTATCTATATCTAAATGTATATATGCACTCATGTCACCATGTCATATACTTTCTGATTACAATTACAATGTATGAACACCTTTGCTAATGAAAAAAAAAAATTCTTAACCTGTTTCAAATGGTAATTGCTGAAATCTGGATGAAAACGTGGACTTGTCGTGATAATAACTGAAACTGCTAAACTGCTTTTTTATAGCATGTGTCAGACTGACTAGCACAGAAAATAAAAAGGACAAGGCAAATGACAACTTCTGACAAGTGTCTTATTTTTTTGTTTTCGTAAAGCTTGCTATGACAACAAGAACAGAGTTTTCCCCAAACTTTTTGGGTTGGTTACATGAAACCTATTCTCTTGCAGTTCTGTGTAGAGTTGTCTCCTTCACTAAGTTAACAACTATTATATCCTTCTTAATTGCTGTTAGTCAAGCTCCCTTACCAATTTGGGATAAAGGCTTTGTTTTTCCCTTTGCTTTGTTTTTCCCTTTGCTTTTAGGCCAATAAGATGAATAACTACAAGCAGAACAAAAAATGTAGTATTTAATCAGCCTAGTACAATAGCAAATCACAAAAATGCAGCCATATGTAAATCATTTGATGGCTACCTATACTTATTGAATAATTTTTCTAGACAGACCATAATCTTACAAATGATCAATATAAGATATGTCTGATCAATTGCTTTCTAGTTTCTAAACTGGCTAATTTTATAAGCAACACCAGAGCTCATCTTGTCAATACATATGACAAACGAATATGGGCTTAAAACACACATTAAGGTGGAGAAATGAGAGAATTTTAGCAATCAATAAGAATTCAGTGCACAATTAATGTAGGTCTAATCAATTCCTTTCTAGTTTCTAAACAGGCTAATGTCACGAGCAACACCACATTGAGCTCATTTGTCAACACATCTGACAGATGAATATGGGCTTAATGTACTAAAACACACATTAAGGTGGAGAAATGAGAATTTTGGCAATCAATAAGAATTCAGTGCACGATTATTGTAGGTATTACAACAGTCAGCAACATTTGAAGAGTTCTCTGAGCAATATATGAATTTATCTACCTAGAAGAATTCATGCCCAGAATTGACTCGAAATCGAGTGGTAAATTTTATTATATTCTTTTTTTCTCTTGTAAAAGAATTTAATTGTCATGGAACATGTCCACAATTTAAAAGCATAGTATGTATGAAATGCCTTAGACTACTAATCTCAATGGATGTGGAAGATCATTTTGCATATCAGTAAACTTCTTTATGTTTACTTATGAGAACAGTAGGTTGTCATGAAATAGGAATGGCTCAGAACTACATATAAACATAATGTCTCAGTCAAATCAAAAGTCAGAAAGATCAATCACCTAAGTTCTTTGGGAGAATGAGAAAGTAAAATAATTATGGTGAAAAAAAATAAGTTCACTAGAAATTACATGTCTTCCTAAATGAAAGCTGAAAGGAAACTTTCAATTTTTTCCAGCACACCAATTTAGACATTCTCAAAGAAGCGGGTGGCAATTTTCCTTGTTCTTCTTCCAGTTTGCCAATATATCTAAAGATAGTTTTGCATGCAACTGGGATTCAAACACTGACTTCCAAATTTGTGCAATAGCCAGTGATAGCTTTTCACCCTATAATGAATAACAATTAAACAATTTCCTACCTTTTCGTTTAGTGAGTAATAAATTAATTTTTTATAATAAATACCTACTCGGGATAGCTGAAATTCCAGAACATATGAAACGTCTAAAGGAGCTCCTAAGAGATTAAAAGTTTTGGACTAAGTTAGAAAAGAAAATTTATACAAAATGAAAAAAAAATCTAGTGTGAAGACCAGATCTGACAGATATATGAAAGTGCAATGTACCTTCAGCGTGCTCACTCCATACTCTTGACCATTGATTGAAGAAACACCATAGCCAAATATGCTACCGGGTTTATAGCTACATGAATTTTGCTGGAACTCCTTTTGATTTTCCACTGTGGAAGTGTCCGACGTAAGATCAGATACCGATTCTTGCGAGTCAGACGAGGCTGTAAAACTACGTTCTTTGAGAGTGCTGCTAGAAGATGGCTCCATCCCAGAAGTTAATTCTCTCAATTTCTGTTCCAAGAGAAAACTCAAAGCATCACCACTTATCACGTTCAGACCATGTGAGGTCAGTTTCTTATCATTTTCATCTTCATCCTTCATTTGCTTATGAGTATCAAAGCAATACATGTTCCCATTATCCAAATTTTCCACCGCTTGATTGGAAAACCTACTTCCTGATACTGGTTTTATCAGAGGCGAGGTGAATGTAAATGACACTACATCCGCTCCATCACTTCTATTATCTGCTTTCCACCTTGAACTTGAACGCTCATCTATTACAACATTGGACTGGACACGTTTTTGATGCCTTTCCACCAAGACATTATCTACAAACCCATTTTTCTCAGAGATAAAACCCCGTTCTATCAATCTTTTCTTTCGAGGAAAGTCCTTATTACTTGATGATGATCCTTCCCTTTCAAAGTCCATGGTTTCTACACATTCCTTCCTTTGGCCAACTCTGGAGTTTCCAGAGAATTTATTAAAAGTCTTGTTCTTTGTAGAAGATGAATCTCCTGCACTAACTTTTCTACCATGCTGATTATACATTGAATGCTTTGAAGATAATTTGCCTTTGTTCGACATGCAATTCTGCTTTTGATTGTTTTGCCTGAGAACACCTGAAGCATTGGTCGATAATGGCTTCTTCTGCTGCTTATTCTTTTGATTGTTTTGTTGGCTCTTGAAAGGTGGGTTAAAACTGCACTCATGCTCTTTTTGGTCTAATGAATTCCTAGAGGATGAGCTTAATCCCTCCCTTCTCTGGACATTAACTTTAGCCTGGATCGCCAAAGAAATGGATTTTCCCTTACCCTTTACATCAGCTAGATTAGGTTCACGAACATCTGGAGACCGTCTCAATGCTGTACTGTCTTCCGAACCATTCCAACTTTTGTTCAAGGGTTGCCCTCTAAGATACCTAAAATCAGTTGAATCTACAGGAGTTCTGGCAGATTCTAGAATCCTCAACGTTCTTTGAGACTGAGGAACCACCATGTTGTCCTTAGAATCACGAAATCTCAAGGGAACAGAAGATGGTGCAAATGACGAAACTTTCGTCCTGGTACTTGGCTGATTCCCGGGATCAAGTATCTTCGCAGCTGCCTCCATTATATGAGTCGCATTTCTAGCAGAGATGAAGCCGGGGTTTTTAATGGGTGACAGCAACTTGTGATGGGTTAATGGGAGAGACTTTGCGGACCTCGGAGGTAAAGTTTCTGTCTGAAACCTCTCAATTGGGCTGCTTGGCATCTTTTGAGCCCGCAACTCCATTGGTCTCCTAGCGTATCCATCGGCTCTGTGGACTACATGATTGAACCGATCATTAACGTAAAACTCAGGACTTGTTTTATGGCTTTGTTTGTCTCGAAGAGATCTTGTGTCGAAGAATGGTGTGGAACTAGGTTCAGATGCACCTGATGTGGGCATGGAATCCAATCCCATAAGACGAGCTACTACTCCTGGGGCCCTTAGGGCAAATCCTTCTTCATCAGTTATTGATGATGCACAACTATAATCACTACTTCCCTTAACACTAGATACTCCTACAACCTCATCATCATCATCAACCTACATAATTTTAATAAATCTAGTAAATATAACAATAATGATGAAGCCCTATCACTCAACACAGGAAAAATAATACACACCAAACGCAGTCGTGATGCTGCCAAATTATCCTGGCTTCTCTTCTCTTGTTTCGTGCTCTCTGCAAAAAACAACACGGTATTACGTTTCAGTAACCAATGAAAGAAAGAACTCCAATGATCACTCGTGTTGTTCTCGATTCTATACTCAGCCTTAGCATTTGTAAAACTATTGGCTAAAGATTTACCTGGTGAAACAGTTCCACTGGAGAACAACTTCTTCCGGGATTTTCTGTTCCAATCAAACAGATGAAAGAAACCCCCACTCTTCGTGCCTCCTTTATCCGCACCCATTCGTACTTTTTGATCGATGAAGCCTCAATTACAGCTAAACTCCCTTAAATCATGTTCAAAATTTATCTGTAGACAAATACAGCAAACATTAGCCCACTTCCGTTCATCATATTGTACGAACTAAACGCAGGCAATTTCACAGCAAAGCCTTAACTTTGTGAGACTATAGCGCAATTGAACTAAATGCAGGCAATTCATCAAACTATTTACAAGCACAAATCTTCAGTTTAAGGACCACTGGCTCCAAACTAAACTTAATCTAACAAATGTACGCTCTAAAAACGCAAGATCACCCAAAAAACAAGAGGAAAACCCATTGGAAAATTAAGAAACACATAGAAAAGTACATGATAAAGCAATCTAGTAGTTGCTATAAATCAATTCACGTTCCATTCGTAATCCCAAAAACCCTAATTTTAGCAACTAACTGAAGTCACCTTAAAAATAAAACCCTAAATTTGGGCTACGGATTCGAACCTCGACACTGAGAATCAACGCCTCCGGCGAGATCGAATGGTCGTTGCTGAAGCATTAGGGTTAGGGTTAGGGTTTCGCAAGGGGAAAGCGAAGAGAAAGCGATCAGTGAAAAGAGAGCAATTGAGTGGTGCGTAGTTGAGAAAATTAATGGGGGCAGAGAGAGAGCGATTTAATTTCCAAGTGTGTAAATAAAATAATGTTGTGTTCCAAATAATAATATTTAAAAAAAATAAAATAGCAAAAAAGTTGGAGGGGGAAAAACGATAAACTAACGTCTCTCTTTTCGCCATTTCAAATTCCAAACGGTGTTGGGCCCCAGATCCGCTGTATCAGTCACCGCTGTTCCATGACGCGTCTCTCAATTAATAGGCGGGGGCCACTTACGAAGCCAATATCTGTGGCTTTTTGTGCTGGTTGATGTTTTGGATCACACAGCGGGTGGTTTTTAAACGGGATTTTCCCGTTGGAGGTGAAGCACGATGAGGTGTTGGTGGGCCCGCGAGCTCTTAAAGCTGGATCACGGCCAAGCGGTTGTCATTGGGCCCACTTTTTGGATCCTGGGGGTATATTGATGATGAGAAATCTCGACCGTTGATTCTTGTAATTCCCGGAAGTGAGATTCAAACTTTGCTAAATTGGATAGAGTTTAAAATGGAGTTGGTAGGAAATATTTAATATCAGCCTTCTGGTATTTTATGGGTTAGGAGATCATTTAAGACAAAATGTACTCATAATTGGTGTGAAAAAATTAGACATAAATTGGAGATTTGGGAGAGCAACATTTCAACACCCCGGTTTTGTTCATCTAGTTGGGGGTTGTTTGGTTAAAAAAAATTCTCTTGAAAGCCCTCCAAAGTGTCACTTCTTTGGCAGCCTTTAAGCAAAAACGCCTCTAAAAAAGAGGATTTTGCTTGAAAGCATGCCAAAAAGTGACACTTTTGGTAGGCTTTCAATAGTGACTTTACCCTCAAAAACAGGGAACCAAACGGCCCCTTACTAGGGGTGTTAACGGAGCGGATACGGCTCGGATATGGTACTTACCATATCCATATCCGCTTACTCATCTCGGAAACGGATACGGATACGGATATACGTCGGTAAGAAAAATTCATATCCATATCCGCCAAAATCGGATACGGTTACGGATATAGATGCGGATATATAAACGGATATGCATGTGGATACAAAAAGGATATGAGAAAACTAGATAGTATTTAGAAAAATATAGTCATGTGATACAAAAAGAGTTTGTTAATATGTTCATTATGATTGAAAAGCTAAGATTAGACATCTTGATCATCAAAATTAACCATAAATCCATAATCTAAGAATCGAAACTATCGTAAGAGTATTACTAATATGTATTCGGATATTTTCGGATACGGATACGGATATTTCACAACAAAACCATATCCGCAACCATATCCTATCGGTTATAGATTTGAGTAACCATATTCGTATCCTAACGGATACGGTTACGGATATTTTCTCGGATACGGATACGGTTTGGCACCCCTACCCCTTACACTCTTGGGTACCGCTTGGCAAAGGGTTAAGTGAGGGGTTAAGGAGGGTTCTTAACCTGCCAAACACAACAAATCTATATAAGGGTTAAAGTGAGTTAACCCTCCATAGTTTGCCAAACATAAAAAATATAGAAGGGTTAAGTTAACCCCTCTAGAGGGGTTAAAATGAGTTACCCCTCAAAATGAGGGGTTTACTAATACTCCTATTTAGATGGAATAAGACTTAACCCTTCTAATTATAAAGAAAATAGTCAAAATCATTGTTATTCCCAAACACTAAAACTGATCATAAGTCTAATTATAAAGAAAATAGTCAAAATCATTGTTATTCCCAAACACTAAAACTGATCATAAGGACTAAAATAAAACTTATTTATATTCCCAAACACTAAAACTGATCATAAGGACTAAAATAAAACTTATTTAACGGGTTAATAATTTAGTCATTCGGGGTATGACTTTTTATCATGGGGTTATCACGGGGTTGATATTTCAGCGTGTCGTTCTTTTCGGCTCAGATTTTGTATCATACGGATCACTCTGATGAGATTTGCACTCCTTTGTAATACATCAAAGCGAGATGATAGAGCTCTACCATTCAAATAATCTGATTCCAAATTGATCTGTGTTTCGATTTGATTTTATAAATTATTAACAATTTACTTGAGAGTCGTATATGGATCATCACAATCGGTAACCTAGTCGATTTATGTAGTCTTATTCTTTACCTATCATGCATTTAATCATATTTTGATATGTTCAAACAGTTTGATTAAGACCTTAATGGCATTTCTATATATGAACAAATAGTACATTGAATTCGCTACACGTGCCATAAGAAAAATTACCAAACAAGTTTTTATTAGAATGAAAAGTAGGCACATTACATCTAAAAATTAAAAAAATTTACAAATATCATAAAAAAATATTGGATTGATGACCCAAACTAGTAGGAATCTGATAAGGACTTTGAATCTGAGCATGGATCTAGATTTTTTTTAGCAAATGACTAAATTTATCCTACAAAATTTACAGTGGATCCTAAATGCATTTTATTTGGTTTGATCCTAAATTTAGCTCCCAATCAAACTCTAGAAAAAGAAGGCACATGATCACGCATGTGACCATGATTTAACATGATATATATCATAATGAATAATGATATTGATAGTTCATAGATCCCATAGATATAGTACATGCTCATGATCTAGCATCACAACTAGTCTATGGTATTGAATCCCTCCCATGTGTTTCAATTATTTTTGGATCAATATTTTTAAGTGAGTAACTATGACTCTTTCCAATAATTCAGTTCATACTGTTACAAAAAAAAAAAAAAAAAACACAGTTGTTTAATATACGAAAAAAAAAATATACTTAGCTCATACATAACTATGGATCAACATGTGTGTTGTCTTCTGAAGGTTTTATTAGAGACACATGAGTGCAAATTATCCTAAACCAACCCCAATTTGATGCCAGAGCTCGACTAAGCACGATGTATTAGTAATAATTATTATTGGATAAGATCTTGATTAGGTTCGTCTTCATTGAACATGTGAGCAACTCCAGCTTGTACAGAAAATCTAAAAATAATTCTGAAATCTGTTTGCAAAATGGTAAAATAAAATTTTCTAAATTGTAACATACAGCGTTCTAGGACAGTAAACATGGTGATTCAAAGAGACGAAGAATAAAACGCATAGTACTCCTTTTTTCAAATCATACATACTGTGAACTAAAGCCTCCTGCATGAAATTTCTACTGTAACATATATAAGCCTAATGCTTGCATAAATGACAGTTGACATGCGTATCAACTTGGTATCATCACTTCCTTGATTGCTTCGTCTGTCTCCGTTCGTGTCGAGTACCAGTCTCCGCCATCGACGCCCTTCTCTTCATTCTAATTTTACCTCTTGTGTCTACACATCGATTGCTCAAATCACCAGAATTAACCCTCTCTCTAACTCCATACCCAGCTTCTGATTCCAGGCCTCTACCGCTCGATGAATTACGATTACCATCGCAGTTTCTGATGGAAGTAGTTTTCTCTGGCTTTCGATCCCCACAAGTAAAGCTCTTTCGCATATCAGCTCTGTAGTTCTCAAGGTTAGCTCTCTCGGCGTTCACATCGACGAGGACTTGCCTCCTTCGACACCGAGAGCTTGAGTTCTCCTCCGCTGGAACCGCGGGCTTTTTCTTCTTCTTGACGTAGGATTGGGATTTCACATCGCTCGAACTCGCGACGTCCCTACGATCCTTACGGATTTGCTCCATGAGCGTCATAATGTTCCTTGGCGCGTACATTATGGGAGGAACAAGGGGGCTTGGGTTCTGCGGACGCGGCTTGTTTTGCTCATGAACACGCCTGAGTACGGTTGGTGCAGAGAAAATGTTTTCCTTTGGTTTCTTACCGTCCTCCCTGCATATATTTTATCAAAAATGTAAGTTTTTTTTCCTCCAGTGATAGAAAGATTTCTGAAATATTAATTATGAACTGAAAATGCTGGGGGGAAAAAATTTGAGTAGCAAACAATCCACTGGCTGAATTCTTAACACCCTAAAAACTATTTTTTTGTTCCTCTGATCAAGATTAAAACCAAATGGGCGATCAAAAAATCAAACCTGAGGACCGAATTATTCTTCTCTAGACCCTGATCGAGCTTCCTCCAATCAACCCCTTTCTCCTCGAGCACGACTTCTCTTGGCCTTGCAGCCCCAAATGGATTGGGTTTCCTCTGTTTTTGAGCTTCTTCTTGCTCTTCTCTCTCCACTGCATCGGCCCATGAAGAGCTGAAGCTAGCTTTTTTCTCGCCCCCCTCCATTTTTGGCCGCCTCCCCTCTCTCAGAATTCTTGATATCTGTCTTTCTGTCTCTAGGCTTTTTGTTGTTTGGATTCGATTTGTAACGGTCGCTTGTTTGAAATTTGAAACTGCAACGGTAACTTGTGTTGATATAAAGAGGGGATTTCTCTGATTTTTATTTCTCTGACATGCCCGTTACTTGAATGATGCAATGAATTCTCATGTGGGCCTGAACAAACGTCAAAGCCGATGAAATCAGCTCCGTGGGCCGACTAACAAAAGTGAGCGTCCCAATAGCAGCCCAAGCATAATTTCACAAAACCCCTCAACTATGAAGGAGGTTTGCACCAACCCCACCCCCACTCCTGGCGGGCAAAGGGGGGAAAAACCGAACTCTTAGGGGCCAAAAAAACTTTCTAGATTTAGGGGGTGTTTGTTTCACCAAAAATTTTGGCATTTGATATGGATTACAAGTTTTGGAATCAAAAAGTGAGTTTTTTTTTGTATTTTGGGATTTCATATATGGTGTTTGTTTTAATTTTTTTTTAGAATATTGAATCTCAAAAGTGCAAAAAGTGCCTAATTTTTAGAATTTGTCAAATCCTCTCAATTAGAGAGGATTTTGACAAATCCCATAAATGGGTGTGCTTTCTATTAATTGGAGAGGATTTGAGAACTCTCAAATTTATCCTTTTGTGGGAGGTAACCTCATCAAGATAGCATATTCATCATATTACAAGATTTTGGCATTTGGTAATGCTACAATTTGAGTTTGAAACAAACAATATTTTAGAAATCCCAAATATTATAAATTGTAGTATTCCAAATCCCAAAATATTAATGAAACAAACAATATTTTAGAAATCCCAACTCATAACAAAATACCTATGAATTTTAAATCCCATGGTGAAATCCATATCCTAAAATTATAGGATTTGAAACAAACAACCCCTTATAGTTTTCTCATCAGACCCTACCAATAATTCAGGAATAATTAAAATATCTTTTAAGTCATTTGCCACTTATAGAGAAACATACCCTCCTCCCCTCATTGATGAAACTTTTTCTCCTTAGAAAAATCTAGCTACTGCCAATTACAGGTGGCTGTGAGAAAATTTTGAAGTTAAGGTGGATTTTGTGACACCCCTTGAAGTTCAAGGCCCATTTGTGAGGGGGGGGGAATTCACAAGATTCTTGTGCAAAACCCCAAAGTTCAGGAGCTTTTCGTTTCAGTTTGAACAATCTCTTAAATGGGTTAATTGCATATTAGTCCCTTAAATCATCCATAATTATAAATTAGCCCCTTAAATCTCCATATTTGCTCACTAGTCCCTCAAACCTACAGTTTTATTGCAATTACTCTCCTCTATTACTTTTTGTGTTATTTTCTCTAACATTGTTAGGTTAGACCTTAACTCAACATCTATAATTACCTAAATACCTCCAACTTATATAGGGTGGAAACTTTAGACAATTATATATGGTTTAGAGTGAATATTACCATGAAAAAAACTCTAAAATGGGTTTGAGGACGCCCTTGACTGTTGAGGAAGAAAAACTTTTTGGCCCCGTTTGGCAAAGGGTTTAATGAAGAGGGGTTAAAGAGAAGAATTAATGTACTTAGCCCATTTGATAATCCGAAGGATTAAATTATTAACCCGTTAAATAAGTTTTATTTTAGCTCTTATAATCAATTTTAGTGTTTGGGAATAACAATGATTTTGACTATTTTCTTTATAATTAGAAGGGTTAACTCTTATTCCATCTAAATAGGAGTATTAGTAAACCCCTCATTTTGAGGGTTTAACTCATTTTAACCCCTCTAGAGAGGTTAACTTAACCCTTCTATATTTTTTATGTTTGACAAATTATGGAGGGTTAACTCACTTTAACCCTTATATAGATTTGTTGTGTTTGGCAGGTTAAGAAGGGGTTAAGTCTCCTTAACCCCTTACTTAACCCTTTGCCAAACGATACCTTTGGGTTTGGATGTAAAATAAACGGCTCGTAGGTTTCAACCAACTAAGAGATGGGTTGGTGGGGGTTTATATGAGGGTATACCGGGTAAATCCTCTCATTCCGTTGCAACAAGTTTGGATACATAAAGGAATATGAGAGAACTGATTAAAGTAAACCCAAGAGAAAGGGATAGAAAGGAAGTAGATGGAATGGAATTAGTTGTGTTTGGATAGTCAATAAGGAGAAGAGAGAGAGTATGTTATAATTTGCGTTTGTTTAGGATGGAAAATAAAAAGTGAAGGGATTCTACATGACAATATATAATTTGAAGAATTAATACACATCTATAACCTTTTTTCTCTAACGGCAATATTGGAGTAGTGGAGAAATTTTACTTAAGTTGTGATTCCTCCCCTTCCAATCCGTCCACTTTAGGAGGGTTAAGAAGGTGAGAGAATTTGCCTGTTTCTAACCCTTCTCTCCTATCTTATCTCGGTACTTCTAAAATGTAGCCATACCCCATACCTGACACATGTCATACTCATACCCTACACTTCTTGGACACTCCTTAAATGTATGCATATATTTATTCACATCAGTACTCAATTGCACAATGCATGTTTAATCTAAAACACTCGTCATACATTTCTTGGATATATAACCTACAGTTCACATCCATTTTCGTAACTTGTTGGATAAAGGTTAAGCTCATTTCATCCTTAAGAACTAAAATAAGATTTAAAAGGGTCAACTACATGTATAGGGGCTAACTATGATTATATCTCGTGAGTTTCAGTCATGTCCCCGTACCATACCTTTTACAAATTTACCATGTCCCATAACAATACCCGTATCCGCACCCATATCAGTGCAATGTAGCCCCCCCTCAACAAACATAACCTTACGAGGGTCCGCATTACAACTTCCTAACCTTTTCCCTTGCATCCTAAGAAAACCTATCCAAACTCACTGCAATGACGAAATATTCTCCTCGAAGCTCACATAACAAACCTAGAGGGACAAAACTACAAGAGACATATAGATTTGAGGGGCTAATGAGCAAGTACTAAGATGCGAAGGACTAATTTGTAATTAGGGATGATTTAAATGACTAACGTACAATGACCCCTAAATGATAATTGCTCGTTTCAATAGGTCCAATTTCGGGGTCTCACCCTCTAATTTCACACCCTCTAGCGAATCTCATCCTCTTCCGCTGCATCGTCCCGTGATCGATCTCAGCCGGTTTCAAAAGGTAATTTCTGCTTCCGTCCAAAACCCTAAACATGTCTCGAATTGAGGGTTGAGAGCGCTTATTTTGATAGAATCAGTTCTTTTTTTTTTTTTTGTTCTGGATTGAATTTTGGATAAAATTTGTTTGTCTTAGGTCTTTTATCAACGATTCTTATGTTGAAAATTGTTTTCAGGCCTTGATATTTGCTATTTTGTACGTTCAATAATTGACCGCACGCCCTTAAAAATTTTGGGCGTGGTGAAATAAGGATATCATGCTATATTACTGTGAACTTTAATCATTTTGATTTTTAGTTATATTCTTATTCTTAACATGTCGATTGATTTCCATATCCTGTCACATTGTACCCTTCAATTTTCAAGATTGTTAAATTCATGTGTCTGCTTGGTTTGGTGTCATGAGGGATGAACATGTTGATGAGCAAATGATCTATATAACCAAGTCGATGAGTTAGATGAAGTTCTTGTTGGAGCAATCAACAACAAAGCAAATTGAAGTATAATATGTATGAGGAGAGATTTAGTAAGAGAACCAAGTCGATGAGTTAGATGAAGTTCTTGTTAGAGCAATCAACGACAAAGCAAATAGAAGTATAATATATATGAGGAGAGATTTAGTAGGAGAAGCAAATGTAAAAACTCTTCTTAACTCTTGGTTATTGTAGCTACAGTATTCGGCCTTTTTTTTTCTTTTTCTCTTAGGTAGAAGGATGCATGAATGCCTATTTAAAGGCTTAACAAAGTGTTTCATAATAGAATTTTAGTATGACTATAATTTCTAGAGATAACTAACTCAAATCCTTTTAGAATTATGATTAACTTCAACAGGTTGGGGGAGAAATTAGGTCTAATATAGAGTTGATGGGTTTTAAACACAAGTTAAAAATCAATTTTAACCAAAAAGCTATAACTATCAGGTATTGACCCAAACTCCTATTTAAACTCATCACTCTTTCTTATCTTATCCGATGTGGGACTATACTCACATATTAATCACCTCCACAACTCTCCCTTAATTTGCGAGTATAGTCCAATTCAACTATAATTCAATCTTCCACGGAATTCACTAAGTTTTGCACCACTTCACTCGTGGGCTAACCAATTCACAAACTTTTACACCACTTCACACATAGGCTAACCAGATCATGCATTTAGCACATAGCTATCAAACATCCGTAGGAACTTTCACCACTTCACTCATGGTGATGAACTAGACTATATCACTCCTACGGGCATCCGTGGATTCTCCCGACACCTTTGGTCTTCACATCGAAGATCATCTGTTTTTTTTTAAATTACTTAGACAATGACCTTAGCTCTGATATCACTTGTTGGGGGAGAAATTAGGCCCAATCTAGAGTTGATAGGCTTTAAACAGAAGTTAGGAATCAATTTTAATCTAAAAGCTATAACTATCAGGTATTGACCCAAACTCTTATTTAAACTCATCACTCTTTCTTATCTTACCCGATGTGGGACTATACTCACATATTAATCACCTCCACAACTCTCCCTTAATTTGCGGGTATAGTTCAATTCAACTATAATTCAATCTTCCACGGAATTCACTAAGTTTTGCACCACTTCACTCGTGGGCTAACAAATTCACAAACTTTTGCACCACTTCACTCGTGGGCTAACCAGACCATGCATTTAGCACATAGCTACCAAACATCCGTAGAAACTTTCACCACTTCATTCATGGTGACAAACTAGACTATATCACTCCTACGGGTATCCGTGGATTCTCCCGACACCTTTGGTCTTCACATCGAAGATATCTGTTTTTTTTTAAATTACTTAGACAATGACCTTAGCTCTGATATCACTTGTTGGGGGAGAAATCAGGCCCAATTTAGAGTTGATGGGCCTTAAACAGAAGTTATGAATCAATTTTAATCTAAAAGTTATAGCTATCAGGTATTGACCCAAACTCCTATTTTAACTCATCACTCTTTCTTATCTTATCCGATGTGAGACTATACTCACATATTAATCACCTCCACAGTTCTATCTTCGTCAGTTAACGATCTCAAGTTGTAAAGTTTAGCTGCCAGGGCCTTCAACACTTTTGATGATGATATATCTAAATGTGTCCTCTTTCCTGTGATTATATCAAACTAATTAATTGGACGGGAATGTTAGTTTAGCATCCGCCATCCGATCAATGTTCCCTTCTCGTGAGCCCTTTTGAACATTCATGTTAACTATTCTTTATATTGAGTATCTGAGTTTTCTTTTGAGTTTGACGAATATTTGACTTTCGGTTTATGTCATTTGTAAGATCCGGATAACTACACACATGCAATAGGGTTGATGTACTACATAAACAATACACTCTAAGATAAGATATTATTCATCCACTTATTTGGGTGTCTTTCTCATAGCAATAGCCAACATAATTTTCCAATTCTTGAACACCCCCACTCACCCAACACAACCATGGACGTGAGGACTCGCTACCTGATTCTTCTTAGTTTCAATACTTACAGATAATAAATATCTCTACCCTCTGCAGAGAATATCTGAAAATTATATTCTTCTTCCCTCCAAATGCAAAGGAAGCAAGCCTCCCCATTTTGCTCCTCCTCTCTTCTTATTTCATTACTGAACAATCTACCTCATTTCCAAAGGCTATTTTTTCTGCAATCCGTAATTTGACCATATATGACACCAAATGCCTGAAATGAACCTCAAGCACTCACTGTTGGGATATTCATGTAAAGTATAGCCTCACATTGGATATGATAAGAAAGAGTGATATTTTAATGTTCAGGGGTGGAGTTTATCTCAAAATAGGCCAAAAGATCGGTGTTTTATGTGAAATTTACCCTATTCTTTTTCTATTTGACGATAAATCCATAAACAATGTACTTATGTTACTTATCTATATTTTGTAATTTTCAGGTAGCAAAATGAAGGTGAAGATACTTAACTGGCACGCTGTGGCTTCATGGACGTGGGATGCGCAGGACGAAACCTGTGGGATTTGCAGGATGGCATTTGACGGATGCTGCCCAGATTGCAAGTATCCTGGCGATGATTGCCCATTGATATGGGGTGCCTGTAATCATTCCTTCCACCTGCACTGCATCTTAAAGTGGGTGAACTCGCAGACTTCACAGCCTCATTGCCCTATGTGTCGCCGAGAATGGCAGTTCAAAGGTTAGATTTTTCGTTGTGATATGTGTACCGCAAACTATAACATAGGATTCAGTATATGTTGTTCACTCGGAAGTGCTCTGTTTCTAGCTAAACCTATGGGATCGGTTTTGAGACAAATGAAATGCTTTTTTTTTATTAGTCCTTGATTTTGGAAATGGTTCTAAGAGGGGGAAAAAAATATTTGAGAGGATGCATAATGTCTTATTTCATACTTTACCATACGTATTCTATTTCAGAATAAGTTGTTTACTTAATGTTAGGTAATCTATTTTTTTTTGGAGAGTGTTCTCTTCCTTGCCTCATTTTTATCCTCAATGCCTGCAATAAAAACACATTTTGAGAAAAAATTCCATCTATATACCCCTTACATATATGATATTTTAAAGTTACCCTTACGACAATACCTTCAAATACTCCTGAACCATTAGTTTACCTTTCAGCATAATTTTTTTAGATTTCTAGTGGAGATAAGATAAATGATAATACTTACTAGAATGCAATCCCTAGCATACTGTTGCGATGCGAGAAACACAAAAGTGTGGTCTCTCTTGAATTGCTATCGAACTTTGTGAGTCATCAATGGCTCCATTTTTTTTTTCTCTCTAGTAGTGCAAATGTAGTTGAGCGATTGCAGTCTAGTTATCGCTCCTCAAAGGTAAAAGTCCTATTCAACCCTAAACTTTTACCTTCCTAAAATGCATACAAAAAACCTGAATGTACATACAAAAAGAAAAGAAAAAAGGGTGGAGAAGGACCAGCGTGTTCAATTTCCTATTTTGGGTAAGTTGGTAAATATGAAGACTTGGGTGTCAGATAATGACTATTTATAGACTTAATAATGATCATCAAGTTTAGATTAGAATTTCATGGGTTAGAAAGTATCTAAACAAGTTTTATGATTGAAGTGTTGGGTAATGATCATGTACAGGCTGCCACAGCCAACTCTCTTTATATGCTGAGTCTTAGTTCTCAATTGTGTAGTGCATTGTCATCGGATTCTATTTGTGATGGAGAGTTGGCATTATGCTGGCGCATTCCTTTTCCTGTGTCATCGGATTCTCAATTTCGTCTCTTTTTGTGCTGGATGCGGCTGTAACAGAGCAGCTCTGTTTGTTTGTTTGTTTGTTTTTCTTTTTCCCTTTTATTCAATTTTTAGACTGATCTACTTCCAGTCTTCAGACTTTCTTAACACTGCATTGATTCGGAGTCTCTCTACTGTAAATATATGTGAAGTGATTATTTTTCTAATCATAAGTGTGGCAACTCTAATAGCATAGTAGTTTTTGTTATGTTAGAAATGAATCTTAATCGTCTAAATTAGTAAGTTTTATTCATCACGATCGTTCAATAAGATCCATTTAGTTGTTATTCAGCACTTCTTTAGATGCTGACGTGACGTCTATATGTCATCCCTACTTCTTGAATCAGTTTATTCCCCTCAAGGCTTAGAATTACCTCAGACGTAGCTAAAGTTTAGTCAATTTAGGAATAAAATCAATTTTATTGTATGAATATTCTTTATTTCTAAATAAAATCCCGAAAGGTCTTCTTTTTCTTTTCCTAAAAATATTTATAATTGCTACTCAAACAAAAAAATTGAAGGAAGTAGAAGAATTATGATTTCCTCTACTTCCAAAATTTTATGAAAAAGAAAAAAATAGTAATTTCGTCACTTCCTCCTTCATAGTTTTTAAAATAATAGATTTGATTTACTTCCTACTTCTGATACTTACTATCAATCAAACGGGCCATTAATACAAATCATAACTATATGTGAAATGATAACCTATTATGATTGAAGTAATGTTAAATGTATTGTACTTTTGATGCTTTTTTTCATTCAATTAGACTACCAAGGTGGACATTTCTTGTTCACATGCGTCCATGAATCTCATGATACCAGTTCATAAGGAAGGATTTCATATGTTTGAATTCACACGAGTTAATTTGAAAGGGGTTATTTTGGGCTTTTTAACAGTTCATCAAACGATGTTAAGAGGGTTTAGTTGAAAAAAATTGAAAATGTTTGGGGGATTGTCTAAAACACCCCAAATTTATTAAGTGGGACTAATTGACCTTTTTAAAGTTGAGGAGGGTTTTCTCAAAATTGGCCGAACTAAAAGGGGGTGTTTTGACATTTTCAAACATAAGGGGGATTAGCTAAAAAATCTACCTTTTAACTGATCTTTCTATTGGATCTATCTTGCAGAAAAGGGAATATATTAATTGCACTAAAATGACCTATTGTTTCCTTTTTATTTTTACTTATTAAACGACTCCATTAGCAAAGCGTTGCAGTTAAATGACCTATTGTATTTTTCATTAAAAAAATGCTTATGTCGTCATATATTTCTCATAAAGATGAAAATACCCACCTCCCCCATGCTATGAATGTATAAATGATGGGGTTATTAGTTTAGACAATAGTAGAAAATACCATAATTCCTCATCTTCTCCAAAATTACTATGCCTAAAGAGCTCTAGCGACTTAGAGATCTCAATTTGGATAGCACATTGACTCAATTCAAATTGGAGGAAGAGAAATTTGTGCAATTTGCCTTGAGTTTGGGACAAGGGTTTCCATCTCTAAGGTAAATTTCCTCTCCTCCCATGCTTCATGTTGGAGTTCAACATCTTAGGCTTTCCTTCATGTTTCATCGCATTGAATTGAAGACAATGCAAAAATTTTAGCTTTAGGTCTAATTTCCGGGAGGAAAATATATTACATGAGGGTAGTTGGTTGCAATATTAGGGGTAATAATGACCTCGGACCGTCACATGACCCATCACATGGAAGTATTCCTAGAATCATCTAACATAACATTCACGTTTTACACTTTAGATCATTTAGTTAAAAACTTTGCAAACTTTAAGTTATTTAAGTAGTAATTTTATAACGGCCCGTTTGGTTGCTGAAGAGGGCTTGGGAAAGCTCGTCAAAACTGACAAAAACTGTCAGTCTTGACAGGCTTTCTACCCGACAGTTTTAACAGGTTTTCTACCCATTTCAACTCCTCTTTTCAGCAACCAAACGGGCCCTAAGTGGAGTCAAAAATGGGAAACATTAGTTCATTTTAGTACCAATTTACCCAAAGGGAATATTTCAACAAACCTCGGCTAAGATCCAGCCAGCTTCTGCACTCTCTCAACCTCAGTCTGGGGTGTCAACAGTTGTTACCCTCCACCTTAAATAATTAAATTTATATCCTTAATCTCCGCACCTGAAACCGCGCTTCTTCTACTAATAAAACCAAAAAAACCCCACATTCGAAGAACCCACCCCCATTGTCTCTTTCAAACAACACGGTTTACCAAAAACCCTATATAAACTCATCAACTCCTCCTCCTCGATCCATCATCACCAACCCTTTCGTTCTCTGGATAGTGGCAGAGATCATCTGCCGTAGCTATCTGAGGACGTAAGATTTGCTCTGAACCACGTTAAATCTTTGTGTTTGCCGTTGTTGTCTGTTTCTTTGTTCCTAGCATGGGAACAAAGAAGAAGGGGATTTCAGCTGGAAACGCCTGGTCAGTGCTGAGAATGGCTCTTCTTTGGGCCAGAAAGAGCGCCGCGTTGAACAAGAAAAGGCTCAAATCCAAAGCAAAGTTCCGCTCCCAAAGGATGCATTTCTTAGAGCGCCAGTTTTCGATCGACGAGACCCCCATTTTCCACCTCAAGATGCATCGGCCTGCTTCGCTCCGTTGGATTTCCTGCGCGAACCCTTCGACTGTTGATTTCGACGATGATGGGAGGAATTACTTTAAATGGGATGAGAATGACGTTAGGGAAATAGAAGAGAAGTGCCGTGTTGTTGATGAAAGTGAGGAGTTGGTACGCAAAGTTGATGAGGAATACGAGAAGGAAGAAGAAGGGATCGATTCGAAGGCAGAGGACTTCATAGTGAAGTTTTATCAGCAGATGAAGATGCAGAGGCAGATTTCTTTTTTGCAGTATAATGAGATGCTTGAGAGAAGCGCATGAGTCGAAGTTTTTTTTTCCCCTCCCCATTTTCATGTATACGTTTTTTTTGCTTTTCATTCTTTTGAATTGCGGCGCCATTGATGTAAATTACACAGCTTTGATGAGTTCATTAGTCTTCTATCATGACATTTTTGGTGTGAAATGTGTTTAATTCTATGGTTTCGATCCTTCCTTTTGGAGTGGATCTCTCAATATAACACAATAATAACTCTACATTCTGCTTAGTTTATCTTCAAATGATATAATTTGATTGTTTGGTCAGTATATACTTTAGTAAACTTGTGATCGTGGGACATTAGGTGCTAATGATTATTTAAAATGGGATAATTATCGAAGTGAGACAATTGTTCGTTTCTAGAGATAAATATTCATAGGTGATCGCTTGTGTGTAGTCGTACGTCGCTTTTCTTTCGGTATTATTCTGGTTCTAGATTGTGTTATACACATGTGAATCTGATTATATATTGATCATAATACGTTTTTATATTTTGATTAAATATCATTTCTACCGGAATACGATTTGGCTGGACAACTCATACTTTTATTTCGCTCATGTCTTTATATATAATTAATATTCCCATGTCTTTACATATAGTATTAGGGCTTTTTTCCTTTTACTGTTGGAGAAGAAGCTGGCTGAGTTTGGTTCTCTCAACTCCATTCTGAGATGTCAACAGTTGTTAACATCCAATTTAAAAGCATACAAATTAGACCAACTCCTAATCCAATTTAAAAACATACAAATTAATTAGACCTCTTGAATATCATCATTAGAGAAGGAAGAAAAAGCTATTGTTGATTCTAAGGCAGAGGGTTTTATAGAGGTTTTATCAGCAGATGAAGATGAAGATGCAGAGGCAGATTTCTTTCTTGCACTGTTTTTTTTTTTTTTTAATTTCTTTTTTTGTTATCACACACACACACACGTGTATATATATATACACTTTCTATCATTATATATTTTGGATGTATTTGCGGCGTTCGTAGTGTGTTCTGGTGAAAGTCGTTGAAATTGCTAATTTATGTACCCAAGAAACACGCCAAGGGAGGCGGGGGGTGTCGAGTGATATTTCCAAACTTCTTGGGGGCACTTTGCGAAGTTTACCCAAATCAATCGCCGCTAGCCCCCAAGAAAAACCAAACCCTAAATAAAGCAAAATCCGAAACCAACAATCCCTCTCTCCCTCTCTCAAATCCCTCCCCCCCCTCCTCTCTCTCTCTCTCTCTCTCTCAAATCCCTCCCCCAATTCTCTCCATGGGCGGCGGCTACGCGCCGCCAGATGTCGTTCACCGGACCTCCTTCGGCCGCCACCACCGGCCCTACTAGTCGTTCCGGTCCCTCCCTCCTCCTGGCCCGGCGCCTTTTTCCACTTCGAGGCGGCGACCTCGACTTCAGCGCCACCGCCGGCGAGGTCGGCCGTTGGTCGTCGTCGTCTTCCGTTGTTTCGGTGGCTTCCGGCGGCTCCCGAGGCGAGGCCCGGAGGGTAGGCAGGAGCGCTGCGGGTCGGCGGTTGTCGCCCGTACAAGGTACCTCGGTTGGAGGGAAGTCAAGTACGACGGGCCAACGGGAGGCTGGGTAGGAGGTCTGCGAGTGGCTCAAAAACGAGGTGCCGCCTCTATCGCGCTACCTGAATTTGGAATTTGATTAATTGCGAGGGGGGGAGGAGATTCTAATGTAAATTGATTTGAGCGATGTAAATGTAATGTAATGGGTTTTGTATGACATTAATTAATTGCTGCCTCTTATTTCAAATAAGCCCCTAAGTTTCCCTTATGTTGGAATCTTTTAAAACTCAAAGCTTCACCCTGCGCATTTGAAGTCTCTCTCTCTCTCTCTCTCTCTCATTAAATATACATACATAAAATTTCTTTTTTCAATATTTTCTTCGTGGATTCGAAGTTTTTCGTGGATTCGAAAATCGTTCTTTGTGGATTCAGAGAACATCCTTGGTAGATTCTGAGGTTATCACTTCCACGCTGCGTTATATTCACGTCATGAATATACGTACGTACATGCATATGCATGCACACGCACCTGGTGAAATTTCATTTTGGAAACTTCTCGTCATTTATATGTTGCGTCTCTTCGGTCCAGATACATTTTCTTTGTTATTATGCTTTAATTTGGGTACAAGACGATAGATAGTCAGGGTATGAAATAACTATTTGATGATTTGGATTGCGGGTCACATTGCTGTGGAGAGCTTTGAAAATTGCCTGGCCCTCAACCATCTCTTTAATCATTTCGACCCGTTATAAATTCAAGATTTATGAGCTATATAAACCATGATATTTTGCTATTTTTTATTATTTTGACCCATTGTAAAATAATATTGCGGTGATAATTTTTTTTGATTTTGTGAGTTATAACTCATATTTTTTTATCATATATCTTTATTTATTTCGACCCGTTGTCAAATAATTTCGCGGATATAGAAATTTAAAATTTTATGAGCTCTAACCAATGGTTTTTGGCAATTTTAGTAATTGTTTCGACCGCTATCAAATAATTTTGCGGTAGTGAAAATTCATGATTTTATGACCCATTGCCCAATTTTTAACCATTTTCATATTTCTAGCGATTTAGTGGTTACGAGCCGTTTCCAAATAATTTCATGAAGACCAAAATTAACAATTTGATGAGCTATAACCCATAATTTTTGTCCATTTTAGTGGTTTCAACCTATATGCAAATAATTTTCTAGAGAAAAAATTCATGTTTTCATGAGCTATAACTCGTGATTTTGGACCAATTTTAGAGGTTTAGACCCCTTGGCAATTAATTTCCTTGAAGCTAAATTTCACAATTTCATGAGTTTTAACCACTATTTTTGGCCATTTCTAGCATTGGTAAATAAATTTTTGAATGTCAATATTCATGATTTCATGAGTTATAACCAATGATTTTTTGCCAATTTTAGTGGTATTGACCTGTAAGCAAATATTTTCTCAAAACCTAAAACTCACGATTTTGTAAGCTATAACTCACGATTTTATGAGTTATAACCTATGAGTTCAACAATTTTTATGGTTTTAACCTATAGCCAACTAATTTTCCGGGAGGCAAAAATTCACAATTTCATACCATAACTTTTGGCCACTTTAGTTGTTTTGACCTGTTGGCAAATAGCATCTCGGAAGCCAAAATTGATGATTTTATGAGCTATAACCTATGATTTTTGGTCATTTTTAGTGGTTTTAACCCGTTAGCAAATAATTACATATGCTATAATTCACAACTTCATGAGCTATAATCCATGATTATTTTTGCTACATGATATTTTTGCTATATTTATTTATTTCAACATGTAGGCAAATAAATTTCAGGAGGCAAAAATTTAGGATTTAATAAGCTATAACCTTTAATTTTTTTTGCCATTTTTAGTGGTTTCAATATGTATGCAAAAAATTGTTTGTAAGCGAAAACTCATGGCATGACAAGCTATAATCCATGATTTCTGGCCATTAAGTGGTTACGACCTGTTTCCAAATATTTTCAAGGGGACCAAAATATATAATTTGATGAGCTATAACTCATATTTTTTTTATCATTTTTAGTGGTTTCAACTTATGAGTAAATAATTTCCTAGAGGAAAAAAAATTCACGATTTCGTGAGCTATAACTAATAATTTTTTTTATCATTTTTAACGGTTCCAACCCTTGGCAATTAATTTATTTGAAACCAAAATTCATGATTTCATGAGCTATAACTCGTAAATTTTGACTATTTTTAGCGGTTTCGAACCGTTAGCAATTAATTTCCTTGAAGCCAAAATTCACGATTTCATGAATTATAACCACTATTTTTGGCCATTTCTAGCACTAGCAAATAATATTTTGAAGGTCAAAGTTCATGATTTCATGAATTACAACCACTATTTTTGGTCATTTCTAGCATTGGCAAATAATTTTCCGAATGCTAAAATTTATGATTTCATGGGCTATAACCAACAGTTATTTGCTAATTTTAGTGGCTTTGATCTATAAACAAATAATTTCTTAAAAACTAAAATTCACGATTCCATAAGCCATAACCTACGATTTCATGAGCTATAACCTATAAATTTTGACTATTTTTATGGTTCAACCTATAGGCAACTAATTTCTCAGAAGGCCAAAATTCACAGTTCCATGAGCTATAGCCCATGATTTTTGGCCGTTTTAGTGATTTTGGACCACTGACAAATAATCTATCGGAAGGCAAAATTCACCATTAAATGAGCTATAATCCATGATTTTGGTCATTTTAATTATTTTGATCTGTTCGCAAATAGTCTATCAGAAGCCAAAATTGACGACTTTATGGGCTCCCACGATTTTTAGCCAATTTTAGTGGTTTTAACCCATTAACAAATAATTATTTAGCCAATTTTAGTGGTTTTAACCCATTAGCAAATAATTACATGGGCTATAATTTATAATTTCATGAGCTATAATCCATGATTTTTTGGCTATTTTTAATGGTTTTCACATGCTAGCAAATACTTTTTGAGAGGCAAAGATTTACGATTTCATAAGTTATAGCCCATGATTTTTTGACAATTTTAGTGGTTTCGATGTGTAAGCAAATAATTTCCTTAAATTGAAAACTCATGACTTCATAAGCTATAAGCCATGATTTCTAGCGATCAAGTAGTTACAACCCGTTTCCAAATAATTTCATGAAATTAACAATTTGATGAACTATAACCCATAATTTTTGACCATTCTCAGTGGTTTCAACCTACGTGAAAATAATTCACTTGAGAAAAAATTCACGATTTCATGAGCTATAGCTCATAATTTTTGACACTTTTTAGCGGTTTTGACCACTTAGCAATTAATTTCCTTGAAGCAAAAATTCATGATTTCATGAGTTTTAACCACTATTTTTGGCCATTTCTAGCATTGACAAATAAATTTATGAATGTCAAAATTCATGATTTCATGAGCTATAATTAATGATTTTTTGCTCATTTTAGTGGTATTGACCTGTAAGCACATATTTTCTTAAAACCTA